GTATGTATGTATGTATGTATGTATGTATGTATGTATGTATGTATGTATGTATGTAATGTATGTATGTATGTAATGTATGTATGTATGTATGTATGTATGTATGTATGTATGTATGTATGTATGTATGTATGTATGTATGTATGTATGTATGTATGTATGTATGTATGTATGTATGTATGTATGTATGTATGTATGTATGTATGTATGTATGTATGTATGTATGTATGTATGTATGTATGTATGTATGTATGTATGTATGTATGTAATGTATGTATGTATGTATGTATGTATGTATGTATGTATGTATGTATGTATGTATGTATGTATGTATGTAATGTAATGTAATGTAATGTAATGTATGTATGTATGTATGTATGTATGTATGTATGTATGTATGTATGTATGTATGTATGTATGTAATGTATGTATGTATGTATGTATGTATGTATTACATTACATTACATTACATTACATTACATTACATTACATTACATTACATACATACATACATACATACATACATACATTACATACATACATACTACATACATACATGCATACATACATACATACATACATACATTACATACATTACATACATACATACACACATACATAAATACATACATACATACATACATACATTACATACATTACATACATTACATACATACATACATACATACATACATACATACATACAAATGTAATGTAATGTAATGTAAAGTAAAGTATGTATGTATGTATGTATGTAATGTATGTATGTATGTATGTATGTATGTATGTATGTATGTATGTAATGTAATGTATGTATGTAATGTAATGTATGTATGTATGTATGTATGTATGTATGTATGTATGTATTAATGTAATGTATGTATGTATGTAATGTATGCATGCATGCATGTAATGTATGTATGTATGTATGTAATGTAATGTAATGTAATGTAATGTATGTATGTATGTAATGTATGTATGTATGTATGTATGTAACGTATGTATGTATGTAATGTATTTAATGTATGTATGTATGTATGCATGTATGTATGTATGTATGTATGTATGTTATGTATGTTATGTATGTATGTATGTAATGTATGTATGTAATGTAATGCAATGTAATGTAAGGTAATGTAATGTATGCATGTATGTATGTATGTATGTATGTATGTATGTATGTATGTAATGTATGTATGTATGTATGTATGTATTAATGTAATGTAATGTCATGTAATGTAATGTAATTATGTAATGTAATGTAATTATGTAATGTATGTATGTATGTATGTATGTATGTATGTATGTATGTATGTATGTAATGTAATGTATGTATGTATGTATGTATGTATGTATGTATGTATGTATGTATGTATGTAATGTATGTAATGTATGTATGTATGTATGTATGTATGTAATGTAATGTATGTAATGTAATGTAATTATGTAATGTATGTATGTATGTATGTATGTATGTACGTATGTATGTATGTACGTATGTAACATGTATGTATGTATGTATGTATGTATGTATGTATGTATGTATGTATGTATGTATGTATGTGTATGTTTGTCGTATGTATGTATGTAGTATGTATGTATGTATGTATGTATGTAGTGTATGTATGTATGTATGTATGTATGTATGTATGTATGTATGTGATGTATGTATGTATGTATGTATGTATGTAATGTATGTATGTATGTATGTATATGTATGTATGTATGTATGTATGTATGTATGTATGTATGTATGTATGTATGTATGTATGTATGTATGTATGTATGTATGTATGTGTATGTATGTATGTATGTATGTATGTATGTATGTATGTATGTATGTATGTATGTATGTATGTATGTATGTATGTTATGTATGTATGTATGTAATGTATGTATGTATGTAATGTAATGTGTAATGTAATGTATATGTATGTATGTATGTATGTATGTATGTATGTATGTATGTATGTATGTATGTATGTATGTATGTAATGTAATGTATGTATGTAATGTATGTAATGTATGTAATGTATGTAATGTATGTATGTATGTATGTATGTATGTATGTATGTATGTATGTATGTAATGTAATGTATATGTATGTATGTATGTATGTAATGTATGTATGTATGTATGTATGTATGTATGTATGTATGTATGTATGTATGTATGTATGTATGTATGTATGTATGTATGTATGTATGTATGTATGTATGTATGTATGTATGTATGTATGTATGTATGTATGTAATGTATGTATGTATGTATGTATGTATGTATGTATGTATGTATGTATGTATGTATGTATGTATGTATGTATGTATGTATGTATGTATGTATGTATGTATGTATGTATGTATGTATGTATGTATGTATGTATGTATGTATGTATGTATGTATGTATGTATGTATGTATGTATGTATGTATGTATGTATGTATGTATGTATGTATGTATGTATGTATGTATGTATGTATGTAATGTATGTATGTATGTATGTATGTATGTATGTATGTATGTATGTATGTATGTATGTATGTATGTATGTATGTATGTATGTATGTATGTATGTATGTAATGTATGTATGTATGTATGTATGTATGTATGTATGTATGTATGTATGTATGTATGTATGTATGTATGTATGTATGTATGTATGTATGTATGTATGTATGTATGTATGTATGTATGTATGTATGTATGTATGTATGTATGTATGTATGTATGTATGTATGTATGTATGTATGTATGTATGTATGTATGTATGTATGTATGTATGTATGTATGTATGTATGTATGTATGTATGTATGTATGTATGTATGTAATGTATGTAATGTATGTAATGTAATGTATGTAATGTAATGTAATAATGTAATGTAATGTAATGTAATGTAATGTAATGTAATGTAATGTAATGTAATGTAATGTAATGTAATGTATGTAATGTAATGTAATGTAATGTAATGTAATGTAATGTAATGTAATGTAATGTAATGTAATGTATGTATGTATGTATGTATGTATGTATGTATGTATGTAAATGTATGTTATGTTATGTTATGTTATGTTATGGTATGTTATGCTATGCTATGTTATGTTATGTTATGTTATGTTATGTTATGTTATGTTATGTATGTATGTATGTATGTATGTATGTATGTATGTATGTATGTATGTATGTATGTATGTATGTATTGTATTGTATGTATACATTACATTGCATTGCATTACATTACAATACATTACGTTACATTACTATACAATACATTACGTTACATTACGTTACATTACATTACATACATACATACATTGGCAACTCGTTTGTGTAAGGAGCGGCAACTCGTTTGTGTAAGTGCGAAGTTCTCGCCTTGCCAGAGAGCAATAGTCATGCCTAATCAGCTAGAGCAATGAACATTGGGATGCGTGCTCATCCAGCTTCCGCCATTGCAGTGCTAAACAGGCGGCACTGGGCATGAACTTCCGGTGACGCAAGCATAGCATCGCTGCGTTCGTTGATGGACACTGCTGCATGCACAAAAAAACACGACGTAGACCTTTTCAGGGAAGGCTTCCGCCGTTTGCTCACTTTCGTCCATCAGCACCGCTGGGAGCTGCCCTGTGGCACCTTGCGTAGCGTTTCGATCCTGGCATGGATCGTGTCTGCCAGCTGGAGACTCAATGTGATGCCGATTTCATGCTGGCTCGCAGCGAAAGGGCAAGAGGTCTTGGGATTCAATGAAGCCTTGATCACTAGCATACTGGCGGAGTGGCCGGTATAAGCCAGAAATCGCCAATTGAGTTCCATGAAGATAAGAAACAGCCTGCCGACAGTGCACGCGCACATTTGTGCTGACTTGATGGGGAGCAGCTATATTCATGATCAAAACCTCAGAGAACATCAGACACAACCTGAGAGACATGCAACACGACTGCTGACCGCCTTTCGGACAGTACAACCACTTCGCGAGTCACCTCCCTAGGCCTACGAAGGGCAATGCTACGCTTGTTAAAGAGCTATCTAAAGTTATCCGCATCACGGTCGTCTCCTGGCTTTTTGGTTGGGAATCGGGGAAACATTTGCTGAAGTGTATGTACGAATGTACGAGCTCTGACCTCCGATTCCCAATTAAGAGAATTCCGTGCCAGTTGACCTGACCGTGCCTGCATTGCCCCACAACCAGGGAGTTCGCATCTCACGATCCCTTTGGCAGGAGGCCACAATGCAACTGCCATTGTGGCCAGAGGTTTTTGCTTTCACAGTTCACATCATTTCGTGAGGTTGCTCCCCGAGTTGATCAGTGGGAAACTGCTCACACCCTGATCGGTTTTGATATATCTTCTTCCAATAGCGCATTTGATCAGTATCTCTGATCTAGCACTGGGAATTTGAGCCCACCTTGTGGAGGGAGCATCTCACATGTGCCAGAGGCAGGTTACAGACAACAGCCCGGCAGGCGATATGTCGATATGTCCGTGGCATGGCGCTAAGAGCTGCGCCGTCCGGAATAGAGCGAGACATAGAAAAGGCAGTCAGCATGTGCACGAAAATACCCAACCAGCCGCCCGAGCCGCCGAGCCCGCGGGCAGCAATTGGCATGCCAGGTTTTGGTCCCACACCGCAAAAATTGGGTTCGCTGCAGGGCCCATACCTTTGAGTCTTTGTTTGGTTGCAGGCGAAAAAGTTGTCCATACCTTTGAGTCTTTGTTTGGTCGCGGGCTTTTTTTTTCTGACCTTGTGACCGGCCAGCGCTTCAGCGCTTGGCCGAGATGCATCGCTTGGCAGAGACGCCTACCAATCGCCCGGCAATCGTGAGATGCGTCGATGCTTCTCAGGGAAACCCACTAGCAGGGATACAGGGGGAACCAGGCACAATTACTGGAGGATTCCCCCGTTTGATGCACCTTGACTAAGTGTATGGGATAAATGGCGCCAAGGGAATCCCAAACCACCGCTTTTTCCGTATCCCCGCTTGTTCGTTTGTCGCTTCTTGGCGCTGAGGCGATTTGCAGCGTCGACCTTCTGCCCACGCGACTGAGTGAGCTGGGCATTCCACGGCCGCAGCTCGGCGTGACCGGCCGTTTTCTGGGGGCGCGTTTGTTGTGTTTTGCTGCCCTTTTGTGACAGGGCTCCCTATATTTCGCTTGTTGAGGTTTTGAAGATCACCTTGTGGGTCCATTGAGTTCCCTGTCTGATGCGATTCTTTCCTCCTGTCGATTTCATGCGTATTGCTGCAACTAGATCCCTGTCCAAGAAGTTGGCATTCGCTCCAAGACCTGCATCCCGTGTCTCCGGTTTGGAACTTTTGAACCCTGGAAAAGGCCATATCAGCAGCTGCACTGGCAAGGAGAAGACTGGAACAACTGCCCCATCTCCCCTTGCCAGGCGCCAGGCGCCAACTTTTTCAATCCAAAGAGAGCTGCAAGAAGCATCCCCATGACTTGGTGAAGCGCTTTGCTTGGCCCTGTCAACTGGGTCGCCTTTCGTTTGCTCAACATGCCATGGGTGGCGTGGGACCCGGGGACCCAGTTCGATCCCGCGGTTAGGACCAGATCGCAGCCAACGGATTTGGAGAGGCTTTGGCCCGGGCATGTTCCCAAATCTGGGTGGTTCCCAGCCATCCCGGTCTTTGGGTTTTCAGCCTTTAGTTGGTTGAGTGGGGGTTTCCGAATTTGACCCACTGCAAGGTAAACTTTTAGCAGGGAATCTGAGGATCGCCCAGAAATGGGATGCTCGGCTGGCAAAATCTCGTACCGCCAGTGAACATCCCAATCCCCACTAAACTAGGTTCCAAAATGGGTGATGCACCCACCCCAAAATGGGATCCCATTGGTTTTGACCCACGGCCAGCTCAAAAAGTTGGATCACACATCGATGGCGCAAGGTACTTCTCTCAGCCTGTGATCGGGGTCCTGGTGGCAGCGGAGGTGCTGGTCTTGAACCGTGCCTCGGCAGACTGCTCTTTGACGCAAGCGAAGCCATGTCCGGTGCAGTCGGTACTGTAACTCGAGGGGTTGAAAACCTCTGGTGCTTGGCGTCTTGGAACCAAAAGCCGGCTGTGACCTTTATTCTAGGGGTTGATTCCAATTCCATTCTTTTCAGCCATCGTTCTTTTCAAAAACCGATGGCTGTTTCCCCAGGGCTTTTAAATTTGGTGGTTTTCTAGAAAGATCCGGATCCCTGGAAAGAATGGAATTGGAAGCTACCCTTAGAGTACCAGCAGAATGGGGCCCGAAAGATCAGCAGTCACAAATTTTGGGGCGGCTTCAGTCGCAACAGCAGAGCCACGGCAACGGGCACCTGGGCATTTTTTGCCTTTTTGATATGAAGGATGAAAGTACCGCTGTCCGAAGGTTGCTTGAATTTGGCTGGGGGCCTTTTGCGGTCATGCTCGACGATCTTTGGCCCCAATCGGCCTGGTTGCGTTGCCAGCCGGCAGATCATTTGCTTCAAAGGTAAGAACCACGGACGCTTGCAGTCCCACCCGCGGTTCTCGCCTGTTCCGATTCATTGCCATGCCATGCCATGCTCTGCAAGTTGCCAGGGATCCGGCTTCTTTGGTTTCCCGTGAATCTGGCTGAACTTGGTCTTCAAGGAACGACTGAATGCCTTGCGTTTGGACAGTCCCTGAAATCGAACGCCCAGCAATGTCCCGGCTCCACTGGTGGCCTCAGAGATCAGATTTGCCAGTGTTTGCGTTCAAGACACCAGCCACACATGCGCCAGTCCGGTCCGACCGGACTGGCCACATTTGCAGGCATCTTTCGGTGGGTCTCCCTTCCCTTGACGCGCTGGGAGAACCACAAGAGCAGAGCCGAATTCGTCCATGCTTACAAGTTCAAGGCCAGACCATTCTCCGAGAGGAGCTGGGTTTGTGGGTAATTATGCGTCAAGAGGTGGCCACCACGCTAAGATGAACAAGGGGAGGGTATGCGTCAAGAGGCCACCAAGCCGAGATGAAAAAGGGGAGAGGTGGCTGACAATCACTGTCACTCCATTATTCAAAGCACACACCATGCCGAGCCTCTAGTTCAGCTGTAAAGGAAAGCCACGCCTTGCCGCGTTTGGAATGTCCGGATGTGAGGCTTTGAGCCTGCAATTCATTAATTCGCCAGGCGCTCAAGCATGCAGGCAGAGTTCGCGTAGCAATGCAGACATTCCAGCCACGTGTATTCTGCAAGGACCGCACACACCCAGTCGCGGTGAATTCAGGTATGCATCACTCTTCTACATCGCTTTTTATCCAGACTCGCTCAAGCCGCAGGGCACCGAGATCGCGGTGCAACAGACTGTGGGCAATTTTTATTGGGGGAACCCAATGGGCCGGGGGTGTGCTCTTGATCTCCCTTTCACTCCTCAAGTGTTGCTCACAAGACTCCCATGTTGGCCAGCCAGCCAGTCGGTCGGTCGGTCAGTCAGTCAGGGCACGCTTCGCACGGCTCATTAAAGTGGTCTGTGCACGGGGCGCAGGTTTGAGGTGTCATCCTGTGATGCTGCGGCCCAAGAGTTCGATGTCAATGTGGTCTCTGGGAGATCCGGGGAATATGCTGGCAACGTCAGTGCACCAGCATCTTGAGATAATCAGCACGGTCATTCGCCTATTCCCAGCCTGTAGGGATTCACTCGGACCGGTTCCCGAGGTTGCTTGGTGGAATCAGTGGGGCAATACGTGGCCTGGCCGAAGTGGACACTTTGAATTTGGTCCAAAGAGCGTACACTCGCTCGCCCATTTTTCCAGGGGTACCTTCCAATTCCATTCTTTCCAGGGATCCGGATCTTTCTAGAAAACCTCCGGAAACCGAGAGAAAACGGCTCCGGTTTTTGGACAGAACGATGGTGGAAAAGAATGGATTTGGAATCAACCCCTGGATTTTTTTTATTTTTTCCCCACGAATCTGAACACGTCCACTGGAGGTCTCACGACTTTCTCTTTTTTTCCTCGTGTGACGCGAGTCACGACACGAGGTGTGAGATGGCCCGACTCAATCAGCAGCTCATGGCCATCCTCGCGATTTTCTGCCTCAAGGCCGCAGAAGCCGGGGAGAAGCTGCTTCAGACGCCCAAATTTCCCCGGTTACTCCCCAGTGAACGGGGCCCAATCCAACCACTAAAATAGGTTCTAAAAAGGGTGGTGAATTCACCTACCCCAAAATGGTACCATTGGTTTTGACCCACAGACAAATCTCCCTGAGTGGCAAGAAGCATCAGCTTTCGGGGAAGATGTGGGATGACTCTGCAACTAGGACGGGTTGCCAGCCGTTTTGTCGCGAATTAAACATAAGCAGTGTGTGTATATACATATATATATATATAGACACGGCTGTGGTCAAAATTCAACAGCTGGGGTTATGCAAGGTCTACCTTTCCATTTACCAAGGTTCCATTTTGGACCCCAATGTTTGAGCCACACACATATGCCTATTCTATATGTACACATATCGGGTTGGACGCGTGGTGGACTTTTCACTCATCGGACTCTCGGTCAACCAGCTCAGCTTCTTGAGTGGCTCAGTGGCTGAGTGGTCGCTCGAAGGATGCACCCGGATTCATCATCCTCCCTGCATATTGGTATGATATATATATATACACATATTATATTATGTTATATATCATATGATACTATCTTATATATATATATATAGGTATATGTATACATTATATATAATATGAATACACATGTTGTCCTGCATGGACATATGCCCTCTGCTTTCCCCCCAATTGCGGTTCAGCTTTGCTTCCCCCGCACTCCCTACTTTTTGCAGTGATTCAGGGTTACTGCTCGGCTTAGTTTAGGAGACCTACACACAACTGATTGTGCCCGGGATGCAACTGTTTGTTTTGCCTGTGTATTTGCATGAGTCAAAACGTCGTTTTTTCTTTTTTGCGGGGGGTACAGCCGAAATGCCTCATGTCATCTCCTGCAAGAGTGCTGCTGCAACAGTCAACGCAGCGCTGTTACATCCGACAAACAGAATGCCGCGGGCTAATGACAAAACCAGGGTATTTGAAATAGGTGCCTGCTCAAAACCCAGCAACATGCGCGTGCACGTATGTCCCGGCTGTGGAAATAGGTCATCAAATTTCGGACAGTAACATGTTGCCTTGTCAGAAGCAGTACAAAGGCTGTTATCCATTGTGGACAGAAATAAATCTCCGGAAGGATTTTGTCCGTGGATGCATTGCAGCAAAATAATGATACTTGAGGCGGTTGGACTCTACGCAAAGGCGGTGAATTCTGCGCAAACCATAGCCCAAGCCAACCAAGAGAGGCCAGGAAATTGAAGACTTTGAAGTCCCCAGGGGAAGGGTAGGGTTGAACCTCTCTGGCCGACCGCAACCATTCAGATGAGTCAACAGCTTGGTCCAAGGAAAGCGATAATGATCACAATGATTGGCAAATAATTTTGCTGACTTCTCGGATCATTTTGTACCGCTTGTTTTCAGCTGACGGGTTGGCAATCTGGGTGTGTCAAGGTTCGGTCAACTGTCCATCCCTGATTGATAGAGACCCCCTAAAGGTTGGCCTCACCAGCCCTAGTGTTGGCCAATTGACCTTAGAACAATCCAGCAACGAATCCAACAACCAGCACCAGACCACCCAGGATGAACACAGCACAAGAATCCTGAACTCGCTTCGTGTCCAAAGAGGCCACACACCGAGAGTTTTTGGCGAGGCTGGCATCCGATGCCTGACGTTCTGGTGCGTCTCAAACAAGACCAGCCAAGCGTCGCCTGAGAGGAGTGAGCAATCTTGGTCGTGTTTCGATTCGCGAACAAGTGGATGTAAGTAAGCAGAATCTGGCATCGAGCTCATGCCGGATGCGGCAAAGCTTTCGCAGGAGTTGGTTATGCGAGTCATGTGGTGGCCACGGTTTGAAGCAGGCTTGTGGGAACAAGGGTTTGTCTTCCCACTTCTTTACGAGGAAGCCTCCCCTTTCATTTGGAAGGCCTCCCATTATCACTGAAGTGCCCCCCCTCTTCTCCCCCCCCCTCCCCCTTCTCCTCCCCCCCCCCTTCTTCCCCCCCCGTCTCCCCCAACCCTGGTTCGAAGTGTCAAGCTTCCGTGCGCATCCAGTCACGGAATCCACAGGCCAGTGTGGGGCGATTTTGTGAACGCTCCTCTGCGTCGGCAGGAGCGTTGGCATGGAGATAGTTTCCGGCCTGGACAAGTCTATGGCAGCGCTGAGGCGGCAGCACACGC